ACACACACACACACACACAAACACGCGCCCACATTAAACAGCAGTGAGTTTTTACATATCGGGTTAAAAATAATCAAATATACTATTGAAGACTATTTTATTGAAACAAGGAGTCCAGTTAGATTTATTTAGCCAAAAAAAGTCAAATGAAACCTAATTTTTTAGTTTCCAACATGATCTGAGATGGGATTAGATTTGAGTAACTTCTGAACCAGGTGAAAACCAGGGCAGTTTTACGGTCTAAAGCCTTAAAAGTTAAAAAGAGTGGATTATTTTCCTATGAGGGTAAAACCTTTAATTTAACAGCACGAGCTGGTTTTGGACCTCCAGCTCAGTGGTTCAGTCCTCTTTAGTGTTTTCACAGGTTTTACACGAATCTCAACAATAAAAATGTGCAACAAGACAAACTGTACAAAAGTGCTTTTTAACAATTACTCAGTTCTTAATATTGGTATGAAAATATTTACAGCTCAGGTTAATTTTAGAATCAGACAGGAAAATCACGAGTTTTCTTTAAACCATTTGAAGATAATTATATTTGTTCAAATATTTTTAGCAGCAAGAACTTGTTTGGATTATTTGGCTTTTTGTTACAGAGAAGGGGAAACAGTGGAACCGTTGACCTTTGGTCAGTATTTGAACTGGAACTGTGTTTTTATATCTTTGGTCGTCTGTCGTCAGCAGACCTGACGTTTTATTTTGAAATAAATATTAAAGACGCTGCAGATTCTTTAGTTTTAGTTGTGACTCTGGAACTTTTCTCTCAAATTTTTCACGATGCTCCCCTGACTGCTCTCTGCCTTCGGTCCTGAGTTTGATCTGGTTTTCGGACCCTCGTCCTGCTCGGCAGAGGCCGCTGCCGTCTTTCCGGGCTCACTTTTGGTTTTGGCTTCCTCTCTTTGTTTGTATTCGTCGGACTCCTGATAGGCCCGGCAGCGGTCGATGACGGCCATGATGGAGATCTTCTCCCTGCTGGTGGGAGAGCGGATCTGGACGTAGCTGCCGTCGTCGTCCTCTTTTGGTTTTCCTGCCGTTTTGTTGGGCAGTTTCTCCATGATGATGATTTTGTGCTCGGGGTCGTCGGTCAGCGGCGCCTCGGCTGAGATGTAGTAGCCGTCGCAGCTGGACTCGTCCTGGAGCCTCTGCAGCTCGCTCATCTGTGCCCCGCTCAAACGAGGGTCCAGAGAGTTGGCTCGGTGAAGCCGTTTGCTGCGTTCCTCCTGGCTCACGTTTCGGCTCCTTCGAGGTTTGCGCGAAGACGCCGCTCCGGACGCTTCGACGTCGAGGAGGCTGGAGCCGCTGGAATGCCTCCTCTGACCGCCTATGAACAACTTCTCTGGGATGGAGCGGCTCCGGCTCACCGGGTTCCTCTGGGCGCACCTGCCGATGGAGTACTTGGACCGGAGTTCACGGACATCGGGCCAGGTGAAGACTTCAACGGGAGGAGATGGGCTGAGGGGGCTACGAGAAGGAGCCCGGCCTGGAGAGACTCCCCTGGAGCTGTCAGTGACCGGAGACCGGTCTGCGGGGCTTAGAGGCAGAGAGGGGTCCGGGTGATTAGATACCAGTGGCAAAGATAGGCTGGATTTACCTGCAAAAGATGGATTAAAGCGTTAAAGTCAAAATAATTTGTTTAATCATGCTACCCTTCCTTGGCTTGTACATTATGAGGACTACCAGCATTTTCAAACAACTCATTTTTCTACCACATATTGCCAAATGGCAGTGCTGGGGTAATTTGCAACCCATTAGGCCACATTTTGTAATGTACATGCAGCCTCTCCCAGGTAAGTTGACACACCCACCACAACCGATGATATTCTCATTCTGTTTCTCAAGGGCTCCTGTTTACAAGTTTTTGCTCTGAAGATGTGGTGTGTTGCAAAGAACACAACTGGATGCCACTGTCTTTTCAGAACTATAGTAAAAAAATTGTTAAGAGAGCAGAAGAGACTTTATACTGGTAGTTTGACTAAGGCTGCGCTTCAGTCAAACTACTAGGTGCCCAAAACTGTGCACCTACATATCCTCCTCCTTCTCCCTTTCCTACTTATTTTTCTCCATCTCCTCCTTCTTTTCCGTATTCCTTTACTATAAGGTATTGGATGTCCATATTGGCGTTCCACGCTTTCAAGAGATCTGGGTTACATCCATTCACCCAGCAGTCCTTAGGATCACTTTTATTTCATTCCAGATGGTCCAGATGTTACTCCAGGCCTGTAACATGATCCAGGCACAATATGAAGCTTACGTCAATGATCTCGCATCTGGAATGGTCGTCATAAATAAACGTGATCCTAAGGACTGCTGGGTGAATGGATAAAACCCCGATCTCTTGGAAGCGTGGAACGCCAACATGGACATCCAATACGTTGTAATACGGAAAAGGAGAAGAAGGACGCAAGAAGGGCTAATCACATCTGCCACATGGCAGTTCCCTGGGATTTAAAGGTATAACTGCCAAATGGCAGAGGTCTGGTAGTTCTATTAAATGTTACCCACCTGAGTTCTCCTTCTCCTCCACCACACAAGCCAAGCTCTTCTTAACGGGGGCGGTCTGGTTTCGCTGCTGGACCGTGGGTTTGGTGGTTTTGATCAGCTGACTGTACCGACGGGCCAGAGAGAGGACTTTGCTGTTCCCCTTGTCGACGTCATCCGTCTGTTTCGAGCCGTCTCCGGGTCTTTCGCCCTCGGCCTCCGCCCTCAGCTGGGCCACTCGGGGAACCGTGGCTTTGAGAACTGCGGCCTCCTCCCCAAAACACCTCAGGGCGTTCTTCACGCTTCCTGTCCGACTGAAGCCTGGAGCTTTGGGTTTGGGGGGCGAAGGACTTGTGGAGTCCTCTGTGATGGTGCTGAGGTCAGAAGCTCCACTCTCGGGGTCAGAACTCTTGGTTGGGGTAACAACGTCACCGGATTGACCAAACTCTCTGTCGTCGGTGATCCGCTGCTCCATCTCCTGCCAGACCTTTATCATTTCAGATGACGGTCTGAACTCTTCATCGTCAAAGAGATCATCGTGCAGGCTTTGAGACCTGGACCTCTGCTGGTCCCCAGAATCGGAGTTTAGCTGATCGGACTTCAAAGAGTCCAAAGAGAGACTAGAAGGTAGAGTATAATCCGCAGAGGGAGGATCCAGGCTTGAAGATGCGGTCGAGGCAGTCGAGTTTGTTCGGACGTTGTTCAGCCGGCTGACTGAGCTCCTGACCAGCCCCGTCGGGATGTAGGTCAGACTCTCCCTGCGTCGGATGCTGAAGGTGGCGTCCTGGTTTCCGGCGTTCTCATAGTAGGTCTTGATTTTCCCAATGAGAATCTGGTCCTGCTTGGACAGGGTGGAGTCCCGCCTTCGCCGGATGCTTCGGTCTGGATCATAGATGCCGTCGTCTCGATTGGTCGGCAAGGTGAGGTCCGTGTCGTTGAAGGTCTCTGGGGGTTCTGAAGACACGCTGTTACGCCTCAGAGGCCGGTCGGCCACCTCGGTGCTGAGGCTGAGGATGCTGCTGGTCCTGCTGGGCAGCCGAGGCGAAGCGCAGCTGATAGAGCGAGCGTCGTCCTGAGCCAGGCTGCCTCTCTTGATGCTGCTGAAGTGCTGAGCGATGTCGCTGGCCTTGTCCAGAACCGAGGACGGGAGGATGCTCGGGGATCCGGACTCCTCGTGGGCATCCCTCTCGTCCTCAGAGGACTCGCCGCTGCTCAAGGTCTTTGAGTCTGAATCTGTTGTGGCACAGGACGGCTCCTCTACAGGGTCAGGATTTTCCTCAGGCTTTGGATCTTCTGACTTCTGAGGCGACACAGAGATGATAGAAGAGGCCGGATCAGAGGACAGTTCTGGTTCAGAATCTTCTGTCTTCTCTGGTGTTTTCCCTTGTTCAAGCTCGCCCGCTGTTTGCTACAAGACACAACAGCAGATGATTAATATGTTAGCGACAGATCATTTCAACTATGGTCTTGTCTCTTGTTTCTGGTCTAAACCTCGTTCTTCTGAAGTTCTCTGGTCACCATCATGTGTTACAGGTTATATTCAAGGCCATGCATAACATAAAAGCTCCTGTGCTCCACTTGGAAATAAAGATGGACATGTTTAGAGCAGGTTTTCAAATTAAAAGCTCCTGTGCTACATTTTCAAATGAACATAGGCAGATTTAGAGCAGGTTTTCAAAATAAAAGTTCCTGTGCTACACTTTCAAATAAGGATGGGCAGGTTTAGAGCAGGTTTTCAAAATAAAAGCTCCCATGCTACGCTTTGAAATGATCATGGGCAAGTTTAGAGCAGGTTTTCAAAATAAAAGCCTCTGTGCTACACTTTGAAATGATCATGGGCAAGTTTAGAGCAGGTTTTCAAAATAAAAGCTAATGTGCTACACTTTAAAATAAAGATGGACAGGTTTAGAGCAGGTTTTCAAAATAAAAGCTAATGTGCTACACTTTGAAATGATCATGGGCAAGTTTAGAGCAGGTTTTCAAAATAAAAGCTCATGTGCTACACTTTAAAATAAAGATGGACAGGTTTAGAGCAGGTTTTCAAAATAAAAGCTAATGTGCTACACTTTGAAATGATCATGGGCAAGTTTGGAGCAGATTTTCAAAATAAAAGCCTTTGTGCTACATTTTGAAATAAGGATGGTCAGATTTAGACATTGTTTTCAAAATAAAAGCTCCCCGTGCTACACTTTTAAATGAAAATGGGCAGATTCAGAGCAGGTTTTCAAAATAAAAGCTCCTGTGCAAGTGTCAAAATGCAGCTCTCGTGCTTCAGAATGAATGAAAACCAAATACAGATGAGTTTGAGAAGCTCGGAAAAATGAAGAAAAAAAACTGTCAAACAAATCATAAATAGTACAACTGAGTAACAGAAGCTGATGCAGCTGTTGTTCACCTGTTCAGGTGTTGATTCAGATCCATTCAGCTTGTTGCTTTCAGAAAGTTGTCCATTTTCTCTGTTAGAGGAGCTGTCACCTCGTTCCGTCTCCTTCAGTAAAGATGAATCAAAACAAGATGTTAAATAAAGAACAGCTTCATTATCAACACTCAAAATGTAGGTTTTGTCTAAATTATCAGCAAAAGCAGGAAAAATAAAACCTGATGGCAAAACGTTCACATTAAAGGGTCATTCCACTCAAAAGAATGATTAAAATCCAAGCACTGAGCATGAGAAGTTATAGAACTGAAAAGCAATGAGGCTGAAAACTTGATATATTTAATTAAAAAAAACTTTGATCATCTTTTTATTCTCAGCTGGTAGCAAAAACTTTGTTCAGGCTTGGATAAAACACGAGAAGCGACAAAAAAAAGATTCTTTTGCATGAAATGTCCCTTTAAACAGACAGAACTGATGAAAAACCAAACACGGCAAATAAAAGTTCAGTCTCAGAAACCTTTGCATATTTCACAACCAAAACATAAAAACAAAACCAAACAAAAGTAAAAAACTCTAATTCTTTGTTCAACCAAAGCTTCCAGCAGAACTAAAGTCAGATTAAAGCTGAAGCTCCTTAAAATCAAAAAGACCATCAAGCCTGCTGCATAAAGCTATGAAAGCCATTTAAACTGGGTGTTAAATATATTAGAGGAACAGTTCCTGTTTCATCTCTTTGTGTTTCCCAGAAAAACTTAAAAACGTCTCACAGAAACAGAATTAGGTTTGAACTTTATGGTTTAAAGAAGCGTCAATCACAGCTATTAGTAAAATTAATTTAGGCCTTTGTGTTTAACAATATATTTATGTTTAAGTCCTTAAACTTGACCAGTTTATTGGAATAAATGTCCTTTTTCTGGTGTTTTTAACCATTGTTACTTCAGAGCGCTGAGCCCAGCATGCAGGCCGCCTGCTGTTAGTGCCACACAGAAACCCATGCAGCAGTTACTGAGAAGTTCCAGAGGCTGGAGTCAGTGGGTTACAGAGCTGCTGCAGCTGGAGCCGCCGGCTGGGGGAGGGGGGTGCTGGTAGCAGGAAGCCTCACCGTCCCCGCGGAGGACAGGAAGGCCTGGACGCTGTAGTGCCAGCAGGAGATGGCGGCCAGCATGGAGCTGGTGAAGTCCTCCACCTGCTCGCCTCTCAGCAGGAACTCGTCCAGCTCTCCCGTCTCGTCCTCCTCCTCCTCCTCACAGGTGAGCCTGTCAGCCTCGGACTCCCCCAGCGTCCTGCTGCTGATGGCAGGCTGCATGGGGAACCCCCCCGCTCCCACGGCCTCGCTGTCCGAGAGCTGCAGGGCGGCACAAACTGCTCATCCTGCTTCTGTCTACGACTAACTGCACCACACCTGCTCCCTGCATCACTCATGACATCACCTGTTACAGAGGAGGTGGTTCTTACCTCCAGACGTGCTGCGAGTTCAGCTGGAGGAGCAGTCGAAGAGGAGCAGCCGAGGTGAGTGGTCATAAAAAGACAGAAGAATTTTAGCTTCACGTAATGGTTTTGCTGAACGTAGCTTTTAGCAACCAGTATGCTAATTTTAGCTTTTAGCTACTGTTTTACCAAACAATATTTCATCTTTAACAAACTGTTGTTTTCAGCTAAAATGCAGATGAATACCTGAACGTTCCTCTTTAGCAGCCACAAAACAAACTTCATTTTGTTTTTTTACCTTTGCTGTTCTTCATCATTTGTTTGGTTGGTTCTGCAGAGGAACAACAAACTTCTGTAAGAACACAGACTGGATCAATAATCAATAATGATCAATAACCAGGTGTCAGTGATTACCTGACTGTCTGCGGCCATAACGAGCGTCTCGTGGAAATTCATCGGACCCGGGTTTCTTCAGACGCTCAGGACTGTAACGGTACCTGGGAGGATCTGCAGCAAATCAACAATAATCATCATTAACTACAATAATAAATAACATAAGTTAGAATAAAAAACAACATTAACAAAACAATAATAAACAACTTTAACAACAATAACAAACAACATTTAAAAAATTACAAACAACATACAGCGGGTAAAATAAGTATTGAAC